GGATAATGAAATGGTGTACTCAACACAAACATGCACCTGGATATAAATGTTGAAAACACGCCTCCCGAGGCTCCACCAAATCCGAGCACCCAAAATAGCTATCTCGGCAAACCGTAGCCTCACGGTGTAGTTTCCGTTTTCGAGGCCCAGACCGTAGTACCTCAACGACCCAGCCGAAATCCGGGCGTCCCGAAAGAGGTCCGTGTCGAGAGTGTTTGTGAACTGAGACTGGGAATAGTATTGATATTGTGGGCTGTCGCTGTCGGCCGGCAGGCCAACATTGCTCACGGCCCATCTCCGTGAGGCCGCCACATAATAAGTTGCCGGGCCAAGAGTCTCGTTGTCACTCTCAAACAGGACCTGATCCGAAGACCGAATTGGAGGCCCGCCGCTGTTAATGGCAAAGCTCGAATCTGCCGTGTGATTATTGAATAAGCTAAATAAATAAATAAATGAAAAGAAAAATAAAATGAAAAATTTGAAAATCTGTCATTACAAGTAGGGTTCCCTCGGCCGCACGGAAAATTCCTCTGAAGACAATTTAATCCGGCAGGCAAAGTTCTAGAAAACGGTAAAAATAAAAAGTTAAGGCTATGTTTGGTACTGATAGCTGATAAGTTAGGTTATAGCTATAAGTGAATTTCGAGCGTATAGCTTATAACTTATGACTTGTAGCTGAAAAATTGGCTTATATAATAAAAGCGTTTGGTAAAATAAGCTAGCTGAAATAAAAATTTCAACGAGCTTATTTCAAACGAAACTTATTTGTACACAGAAAACTTATAAGCTAAACAAATAAGCTATAAGTTTGCTTATTTGGTTACCAAACATAGCCTAAGTTACGAGAAATACAAGGAAAAAATATGTGAAGGATGTTTAAGCAGAATTGAATTCATGTGTACTCATAAAGTTTGCACCTGATGTTAGAATCATTGATGGTGAAGTTGTTGGATACCAAATTGCTACACCCAATGAAATGTTTGAAGTTAATATAAGAGCCAGTACATATATAGGGAAAAAATTAATTTAAAAAATAAAATAAAATGAGTGCATGGTTATTTGTTTGAATTCGAACGATGATTTCAAGAATTTGGGGTCTTCCGATTATACATACAGTTGTAGGTTCTGTTCGTTGACCCATGGTGGGAAGCTCCCGGATAATTCATTGTACGACATATCTCTGCAAAAAAAGTTAAAAAAAAAATTCATTACATATATTATACATTGTGAGACTTACTAAAAATATGAGAAATAGGAATGGACACTCACATAGTCCTAAGAAATTGACTTCTTTGTGGTGGCAGCGTGCCGGTTAACCGGTTGTTACCGAGAAACCTGAAATTGGAAAAAAAAAAATAAAAAATACAACTAAAACAGAATAAAACAATAAACAACCCGAGTGAGTGATTAAATTGGCGTGTAAGTATTACAAGTGGGTTAGAGAACTATGGTTGAGAAGAGACTCGGGAACTCTTCCCGCCAAATTGTTGAAGCTCAAATCCCTGAGACGAATATAAACACGAATTCGCCATTATTGTATGCATGTTAGTTATTTTTTTTTTTTTTACNAGTTGGTTAAAATTCGAAGGAAAAAAAAAATAAAAAAAAAACTCACAGTTGGACAAGACTCGACCAGTTTCCAATAAAGTCGGGTACTCGGCCTGTGAGCTCGTCATCTGATGCCCACCTGAAGCACCAAACAACAATTTCCGGCACATTATAGTAATACATTCAATTGTTCTGATTAAAGTAGTATCTATTTTTCTTTTCGAAAAAAAACAAAAAAAACAAACACAAAAATAAAAGAGATTTTATACTAGCTGCCTTACATTCTCTCCATGTTCCGTAGATTAGCAAATGATTCGGGTATTGGACCACTAACTCCAGAACTAATCGTGTATCTACAAAGATGAAGAAGCAATATGAAAAATTTAAAAAATGGTAAAAAATAAATTTTTGGGTTAATAGCAGTCGAATATAAGACGCAATACCATACAATTGCGTAAGTCTTGATAAATTCCCTAGCTCGGGAGGTAAATGGCCGGTGAAGTTATTCGTGCCAAACGACCTGCACAATCCAAAACACAAGACAGAGAAAAATTAAATCAAAATTGAATAAACTAAAATTATGATAATAATATGTTTTTTATACTTGATAGCAAGTTTCCAATATTTTTTCAAGTAAATATTTTAAAGAGAAACTCACAATGATCTCAAATCAGTCAGCAAACCAAGTTCTCTAGGGACCTCCCCTGATAAGGCATTTGTGCCAAAACTCCTAACATTAAGTGTAGGAAATTCAATAATCATAAAATCAATATATAAATAGAATAATTTAGAAATTAAAAAAAGTGCCGAACATGCGCATACAAGTACTGCAATCGAGTGAGATTGGCTATGGATGCTGGAATCGGACCTGTCAAATAATTTTGGCCTAAATTCCTGCAACAATATGAGACGAATATTAAATTATTAATTAAATTCAAGTATATCATAACTTTTTCTTACGAAAAAAATTAAAAGAAATTAAACCGTAGAGCATACAAATCATTGAGAAACGTCAAATTCCATAGCTCGTCAGGAAGTGGACCGGCAACATTCAAACCATAGACTCTCCTGGACATGAATATTAAAATTAGAACGTTAAATATACGCGAAAATACATTAGAATCATATCTAGGACGTGAAAAATATGCATTAATGTTAGAGCATGAACTATATATATACGTAAATATATATATAAATCACGTACAAAGCCGTGATGTGGCAAGTGGTGCCATTATCGTCACTGCAATCGCATTTTATCCCGGGATTTATATTTACAATTTGGGTTCGATCCGTAGAAATGCCGCTACACAATTCGCCGCTAATGTTCCATTCGTTCGAGGCCGAAATTCCCCACCCGTCGAAAATCGCGTTCAAAGCCCTTGCTGCAAGGATTCAACACATAGTAATAATAATAATAATAATAATAACAATAATAATAATAATAATAATAATATAATAATAATAATAATAATAATAATAATATTGTTATTATTGTTATTATTGTTGTTGTTATTATTTGTTGGATATTCAAAAATATCGCGGTTGTATTCAAATGAGCTTCGTTTGATAAGACGAGTTTTTTTTAAAAAAAAATCGAACTTATTTCATAAGCTTCTTTAGTAGTTTTTTAAATATGCTCGTTGAAATCTTTATTTAAGCTAACTTATCAGCTAATTTTACCAATTATTTTTACCATATAATCTAACTTTTGAGCTATGAGTCATAAGTTATAAGCTATAAGTTCAAAAATCACTTATAAGCTATCAGCTAGTTTTATCAAATATAGTATAAATAAAATGAAACTGGTCAGTCCCGTTTATAAAATTGCGCTGGCCCGACCAGTCCAAAAGCAAAAGGTTCAGACCAAATTGGCACCCTCGTCGTGTAGTTTACTATAGGCTTTGTTTGTAGTTTAGTTAATATTTAATTTGTATTAGTACAACAAAATATTCAAAAGTGACGACGCATTAAAATAATATATCAAAGTAACAATAATTATGCACTAACAATCAAATTATCCTCGCATGCCCTTGTTGAGTGGTCCTAGTTGGCTAGTTGGCTTTCCTGTAAAGTTCTCAAATAAAGGCAAAATACGTGTGAAATATGCAATTTTCTTAATCTTCCTAAGGTGGGTGTTTGACCTGCGGGGCCCACTAGTGGACTTGATGCCCCAATATATCCAAATTTACAAGTGAGAAATTATCAACTTTTCACTCAATTTGATGTATTGGTAAAACATTTTTTTTGCATTTGTTTTTTTTACAACCCATACTCTTTTTTTGCATTCATCAGAATTATAAATATGCATAAAAATATTATAAAACACTATAAATACATGTTACAAATTATAGATATGCATAAAATAATATAAGATAATAATTCATGAGATAGATGTACTAAATGTTGCAAATGGTAAATAAACATATCAAAAAAAATTCAACACTATAATACGGGCTGTAAAAAATACCTGGAAAAATAAAATATAAGATATAATTCATTATAAGATGTAATATTANCTATTAGCAGGACGGAAAAAAAAAAAGAAATGAATAAATAAATAAAAAATTTGATAACACCAAAAGAGCCGCACCTTCGGATGGATCGGTGGTGGCATTAGTTGACTGACTTTGACCTCTAACGGTACTTATGAGTTGACCAAACGTGAAAACAAGCCACAAAAACATCATCGGCCGCCGCCGTCGCCGCCGAAATCGGAAAATATGCTGTCCGAGAGACTTCAGTAATCAAGCAAATGAACATGTGAGGCGTTGTGGGGCAGGCGATTTGAAGAAACGGTACATTTTATTTCAGATGAGAAAATTATCTGGATCTAAAACGATGTCGTTTTTAACTAAGGAGAGAGAATGGATTGTTAAAGACATAGCTGGATTTTATTGGAAACTTGGGGTCATGAAATAGAAATATGACTTAAGAGTAAACAATTATTTTCATTAATGAGTTAATTTTTACATCTCTAATTAATAAATTATTTTTTTATCCCATTAAGTGTAAAATAAATTATGCGACAGACATGTAAAAATATATAATAAATTACGAAAATATTTATACGATAAACTGCGCGACAGATAAACAAAGTAATTGATAAATCTATATATATATAATTACTAGCTAATAGAATTTAATAAAACCTATTTAATTTTACCTATGTGGCAATTTAACAATTTTCCCTCCAAAAACCGTTACATTTTGATGTATTTAATCTTTCATTTAATCATTAAATAATTAATACTCATCACTTCAAAATTACAAAAATCATTTTAAACTTTTGATTAATGACAGTTGACCATATAATGTGTTGACCATATAATGTGATTAGATGTTATTATTGTTGTTACATTTAATTTTTTTTTTTTAAAATAAAAAATATATTTAAAATTCTTAAATAAATAATAAATAATTCACAAATAAAAGACGTACCAAAATATACATTACATCCAATCAGATAAACGCAATTTAAAAAAAAAATATTTCAACTCTATTAATTGTAAATTTGGTCTGCAAAAAAGTAAAAGAAAAATAATTAATCATTTATATGTACAGACTCACAATAATTTATTTATATCTGTGCAAATGCACAGGTCAAATACTAGTTATAGAATAATTACATGATATGATACACAACATACATTAAAAGATAATTCATAAAATGTAAAATATTATATTTGAGTGATATGTGACAGACCAGCGCCCCTATTTTCAGAAAGGCAAATAAGACAATTTGAAGAGTCGCCAACGAAATTTGAACGATATTTGTTAAAAAATAAAAAATAAAAATAAAAATAAAAATAAAAATCAATACTCTAATTTTCGAAATTTGTCCATTGCAAATGGAGTTGGAAGAGTCATTGTTGACAATTCTCCTGACATAGTGCTAATAATGGACTAGATTAAAATGGCTCAATTAAATTCTAGTGTTTCTTCTATTAGTGAAGTTTCTAGAAAAAAAAAAAAAAAATCAAACGGCGCAATGCACCTTAGGTCGCTACGGAAACAACCTCCTTGTATAATTACAAGGGTAAGGTCTGCGTACAACTGACCCCCCAGACTCCAACTTGTTGGGAATATACTGAATATGTTGTTGTTATTGTTGTTGTACTCTAATTTTCGAAATAGAAGCAGGTCAAAGCCCACAAAGACAAACGCAACGACTAGCAATAATATAAAATCCAAAACCCTGTCAAATTACGTACGATGCTATTTCAACAACTTGGAACAGTAAAAGATTTTAAACTAACTGTTCTGATCAATCCAAAATATTTCAAATGATAAGCTTAGCATAAAATAACATTTATAAAATTTGCAAAATATACAATACCATAACCATTTATTTAGTAATAAGGAGCTGACAAGTAATGAAATATAATATTTAATAGTGTCCCACTGTCAGTACATCACCAAGTTCATTTACCTGAAAATGTTAATGGTGGTCGTCCCCGGCTGCTTGGCCTCCGCCCGGTTTCACGCGCCTCCCTCGTCGCTCGTTTCAGGTAAGCCTTAAGCTTTCTAGTATGGGTCGGTTTTCAGTTGCCGGCTCGCGTGCTCTTCTTATCGGCTTCCTGGGGGGTGGCGATGGTGGTGTGGGTGTTCGGCGGCGATGGTGTCGGACGACCGGAACTCCGCTGCGTTTCCAGCCTTCCTCCCCTTTCCTACGGTGTTGGTCTGGGGTGGACCATTGTTCTGTCCTCTGGCCAGTGGTGATGGCAGAGGTGGGGCAGTGGTGGGTGGAGGATTGTGGCGGGTTCGGCCGGGTGGATGGTGCCTAGGTCGTCCGACGGCGATGGTATCGGACGGCCGGAGATCCGCTGCGTTTCCAGCCTTCTTCCCCTTTTCCTACGGTGTTGGGTCTGGGGTGGACCATTGTTCTGTCCTCCGGCCACTGGTGATGGCAGAGGTGAGGCAGTGGTGGGTGGATGATTGTGGCGGCTTCGGGCGGTCGGGGACGTGGCTGCAGCCTCGGCATCTTCGTGGTTCAGGGGTTCACAGGGTGTGGTTGGACTCGCTAGTGGTGTTAGTGGACCCGGTCATGTGGTGGTCCTGAGGCATCTTGGGTGTTGAGGTCGTGGTTCGAGTTTGACTTCGGATGATGTTCTGGGGCTTGGACTTCGACTTCGTTATGCCACCGAGTTGGTGTTGGGCAGTTTCGGGTCGGTGGGACTCACTCAGGGTCGACTTGGTATCCACTGGCTCTGCTTGGTTACGCTGCTTAGGAAGGGCTTGTTTCGATTTGCTTAATGTATTTTGTTTTCATTGGCTATTTCGTTAGTTAGTGTCGTTTGTGATTGTGTTGTTTAGGGCATATACTTTTTGTTTGGGCCGTTGGTCCCTATGAGCCTGAATGTCAACTTATTATCCTGTTGGGACCTGACACTCGGGTATTATCTTAGTGAGATTTTTTTTTAGTTTTTTTTTTTGTTTGTATAGTTGGTTTGTGTGTTGTTATTCTAGCTTTGCTAGTGGCGGATTTCTAGGCAGTCTTCTGACATGTCCTCTCACTTTTTCAGCCGTTGACTGCTGTGTATTCGCACATTTGTGCATTTTGATTTATAATATTATCTATCGTTCCGTAAAAACAAATATGGTCTTATACTCATGCATTATAATTCTCTCGGTTCGTTTAGTCTCTTACGTTATAAATTTCTCAATTCAAATAATTTATTATCCCCTCTGTATCAAATTAATTAATCACAAATATGCACAAATATGGTCCTATACTCATGCATTAATAAAAATAATGCAAGGAATTTATAAACGAAATGCAATCCGAAATAAAAATAACAAAAATTAATTCATAAATTGATCAAGTACGCGAAAATCCTAGATCTTGAAATATTTAGCCTAGAAATATAATGTGGTTTTATTTCTAGGAAAATAATAATAAAAATATTAAAGTCAAAAAGAGGAATGAAAAATAAAAGAAAACGTTATTTTGCTCTTCGATATCTTCCTTCTCAGTTTTCTAGCTCGTCATGCGCTTATTTCCTAACCTACAAGGGATACAACCGTACAAGGCTCCTCCTAATTAAAACCGATGTAACAATAAGGAATTTATTTTAAAAAAATCTACCCAGGCATTTTTTACATCGGTGTTATAAAAATCGATGTAAATATCCTATTACAACAAGTGTTTTTTTCTGCTAGTGGTCAATAAAATAAAATGTAAAAACGAGTTGTCTCTCTTTCTCTCTCTCAATATTACAATATAGAAATGAAGACTTCTGAATATATGTCCATCTTTCTTTAGTCATGGGTCTTCAAGATCTTCATAATTAATGGACAAGTTTTCTTCATTTTTTAATCTCCAAGATCATCAAAACCGCCTTCAATATTGAAGTCTCAAAGCCGTTTAGAACACGACATTTGTGAACTTCAATTAATTTTGGTCACTCTCTTATAGTGCGCTTCACATGCGTGGAACCACACTCTCTTCCCTCGACTCTCACATAAGTCAATCTTCCATTTATTTTATCTCACTTACTTTCTAAATAACCTACAAGAAATAAAAGCAAATAATTCACTTATGTGAATTTAATATTCTTACAACCATATCGTTTGCGAAATATCCTACATGAAAATTGCACTTGTTCGATAAACTGAAGAATCCTTGCCATCTTAAGATGCCAATAGATTTGGAGTAGTGGGCTTATTCATAGGCGGCCACGGAGCAGACTGAGTGAGGCGCCCAGGCCCATAAATAAGAAGGGCACCCCAGGCCCATAAATGAGAAGGGCACTAAATTTTATATTGGTGTGTACGTATTTTAATTTAATCAGAAAAATATATTCTCCATATAAAACTAATTCTAAAAAAATATTTATTCTAGATTTTTATAGGATTTTCAATTTTGTACTCTATATGTCCAATAATTCTCATAATAAAATTGATTTGCAATTACAAATAATAAAATTATTATTGTTTATAGTTTTTCTTGTTTTTGTTCAATTGATTACTCTAAAACTCTGTAATTTCTTATTTGATTATATAGAGTTATTACTTTGTGTGGACATAATTTAATAAAACATGTGATAAGAGTTAAAGAAAGCTATGTTGATATACTCATTTTGAACGTAAGTTCCAATTTGTCGTTCATTTCATTTTTACAAATCTTTACAAAAACATGGTTGTTTGAATTTTCACAATATAAAATCATCAATTAGAATATTTTGTTATGAACTATAAATAATTTAAGCTACGTTATAGAAATTTGAGTGTACATATTTTTAAGCTTCGTTCTTTTTTACATACCGTGATAAATGACAGTATTAGACTTTTCTATCTATATTTGTTACATTATTTTTTAAATTTTATTTATAACATTTTATTGTTTTCTTTTAAAACTACATTAACTTTCTTTCTTATAAGACATGAATAGAGGGACCGATTTGCAAATAGTGGAATAGATTCCCTTAAGTCCCGGCGAGCCCCAATTCCTTTAGAAATGATAAAGCAAGTGGTTTTCGAGAAAGATTACTAAGAGATAAAGGGCAGAAAATGCAATTTGATTGGTTTTTATGGGCATATCAGAGAAAAGGTTAATCTATGTTTTGCTTTTTATTCTCCCCAACAATTTAGCCATGATGCTTCGCGGGTAATTAAGAAAAATTAGTACGTGGACAGAGATATTAAATGAGTTATTTTTCACATCTTTGTCCTTTTAAGTTTAAAAACT